ATTCACATTCAGGTGGTCACAGAGTAATTCCAGGAGACAGGACTAGACCCTGATTATCAGTTACTGGTGGATACCTATGTTCTTAGGAAGACTGTACAAAACCTTATGAGGCCTCCCAGTGGTCAGCCAAATCTGCTCTGACGATGCCTCTCTTTGGCTGTGCTGTTCCAAGAAAGAGTGACTGGTGGGGTAGATGGGAGGGGTTTCTAGGATGTGTACATGAGAAGTGGTGAGACCTTAGTTAAAGCCATGGCAAAGGGAAGGTGCAGAACAGATGGGTTTAGACACCCCCCTCACCCATCCCCCACCTCCCTCTGCTGTGCCCAGGCCCCACCTGCTTTGACATTTTTAATGGTTCCCATGCTTCCATGTTCAAATTCAAACCACTATATTTAGCTGAGTTAACAGCTTCACTTAATCTGCAGCTGCTTCACGCCTACTCCCCCCCCCCCGACACACCACCATGCACACATGTGTATACATTCTGCTTTATCCGATATTGCTCAATGGCATAATGACTGACATTTGGGGTGGGACAATTCTTCATTGTGCACGACTCTCCTGTGCAACCAGTAGGTTTAGCATCCTGGCTCCTGCCCACTGAATGCCTGAAGTACTCCACCCTCAGACATTGTAACAACTAAAACAGATATTTCCAAACATTTCCTGCTGCCTCTTTTCCATCTGGTGACCTCCTACTGGTCTTTCTTACTTCATCTCAAGTATTGGGCTGAACCATACGAGACTGTCTTCTTCGTAAGTCAAGAGCATTAATATCAGCTCTTTAATATGGTTCAACTGAATATTCTTTTCTTCTGGAAGTTTTCACTAATGATGCCCAATAGCATCCAGTGACTTTCTTTATTAAAATGCTTGTACCATGTGTTGTAATAGCTGGTTTACTTGTCACCCTTCCCTCACACCATATTGCTCAGCCCTAATTATCTAGGAGCAGTTACCAAGTCTTAAATCACTTTATGTCTCCAACACTTGGCACAGTGCCTGGCACATAATAGGTACTAAACCTGTGTTTGATGAATAAACAAACAGGATGTTGAGCATACTTTCCCTGATGACTCAGTGTTACTATTCCTGGGCACAGAGATGCCTTTGAGGCACATTGAGCCACTTACTTTTTTTGGCTCTGCATCAAATGACCCACCACTGCCCTACTTTATGGATTTTGCATCTGGACTTTGCATCATATCATCAGCATGCCTGCCTCCAGTGATCTTTAGTGTCCTTTAGAATCTGAGGCAGACCGTTTGGAGTACTATGTTGAGTCATTCCATGAACTTTTGTGACAGCAACTATGTGGGTCAGGGTCCTTTCATCTTATTGCTGGGTTTTTGCTAGGCTTCACACATTTGAAGTCTCCCCTCTGGTTAATGAGGCAGTCAGTTTCTAAGAACCCTGTGAGCAGTCATTTTCCTTTTTGAAACTGCTTAAAGATCACTCAGAAGGACTTTGGAGAAATGTCCCTATGCTGCGATGATCATTCCTAGGATCCTGGCTGATGACAGAAAGATGAGCTGAGTAATTTCTCAAGGTATTTTCTAAATAGTTGTTGTATCCCCGGAGTCACACAGTATACAGGTACTCTTTTTTATTTTAAAAAAAGTTTTATATCGATAGACACTGGGCTGTGGATCTCAGATACAGGATCTTTCTAATTTTTGGTTTGGATGACTTTGAATAAAAAAAAGAACAACCTTTATATTATAATTTATAAAGAATTAAGTCCAGGACCATGAGGGACAGAAATAAAGGGAACATCCAAGCAGAAGTAAGTGGGGAATACAATTTTTCAAAAAATTTTCATATTTACTGTGCCTTTAAATGTTTTCAATACACATCTTAATGAATGATATTAATAAATGATACTTGATCAACAAACAACTTTTTGGTTCTTTTTTTAATTTTCATTATTTACCCTTCTCATTAACATTTGCTCTTTTATTATAGGAGATAAAACTATATACACAGAAGAATGTTAAATAGTTTTTTTAAAAAAATAGCTTGTTGCTTGCAAGAATACCCATATAATCTTAGTCCCCCAAAACATAATTTTATACCTTGCACTAAACAAATAGCTTATGGGAAATTAATATTAAATAGCTAAACACAGAAAACCTACAGCTATAAATAACTTAACATAGAATAGAGTTTAACTCCAACATGATGCTTAAAGAAAGCAAACTAAGATGCAATATGTATCAACGTCATTAACTGGACAAGTCCAAGGAGGCACAGATCAGGTAAGTACTAAACCCTCAACGTTGTGCCAGTAAAATCTCCAACTAGGTTCTTTATATTCTTGGGCTGTGTCCAATTCCATTCCAGAAGAGCATTAGTTTTTACATTTTCTTGACTCTTTGACTGTGGAGAAAAAAGAAGAAAAGCGTAAGCAAAGAAAGTGTAACCAAAGTACCCGAAGGTTGGTCACATGCCCTTAATGTCATAAAAGAAGAAAAGCGTAAGCAAAGAAAGTGTAACCAAAGTACCCGAAGGTTGGTCACATGCCTTTAATGTCATGTTGCAATGACAAGCAGCTCAGAGTCCATATGAGGAAATCGAGGTTTAGAAAGGATGGGCCTTGCCTACTATAATTCAGCTAGTCAGTGACAGAAACAGGATATGAACAACTGTCTTCTGTCTCCAAGTTTAGTGTCCGTGACACACTGGTGTTAGGTGCCTTCTGTCCATTGATAAAATGGTGCTCTCTACTACTATCAATGTAGATAAGAACCATTGATCTCTTTTTAACTAACATTTATTTTTCAGTTTTTAACAAACAATCAAAGGTTAAGTAGTCTGTAAATTATATAAATAGGAGGCAACTTTGCAACAAGTATCAAGGAGCTAGTGACTATCAAGTGCATAGAGGAATCTAATACATCCTGTGAAAAATCACTAAATTAAAATAATAGTGATGATGGTGGATCTATAAGTGGAAAAAATGAATTCTTTTGTTTTCATGATTTAACTCAAATTTCCATTTTAAAAATTTCACAGTGCTCAGGCTACAGAATCCCAGCAAGCCTGAGCATGGTCCACCCCTTTGCATGTTCTTTCCCCAAACATTTGAAGAGAGGCTAATTGGTCATCAATATTCCATACCTGAGGATATGCACAGCTTGTTTCACCCAGTTCTTCTTTGGATCTGCACATATAGCGAACTTCTTCTTGGTATGAAAGCTGCAAAATCAGAAAATTTGATTTGTGTTTAATGAGATTTTAAATGTTTTGGGTTGTTATTGTTTTTTTTTTTTTCACAGAACATGCAATGGAAATTTTATATTCCAACTGATTGCTCTAAACACCAAACACTTCTGCTACAGAGGCGAAATAAAATGCAAAAAAAAAAAAAAAATGCTCCTGAGAAAGCCTGACAAGAAATCTAAGTGATTCTCCCTGATTTTCTCCACAATGTAACAGCGATTACACAATGGCAGGAAGACAAAGTCCCAGAATTGTCATTTAATTTTGTAGCTGGTGGTTACATGTAACATGTATATATCTGATAAATAATTTACATCATTCCAAATGGAGTATTCTCTATGAATCAAGAATATTGTATGTGAGAGTATAACTAGTCTGAGACTTTGCTTGTAGCCCCAACCATTTTCTGGTGGAAGATGCTCATTTCAAAATATACATCTCTCATAATTTCCTGAGATAGTATTTTAATAGCCTATAAGTTTATCTCAGAAAGTGATTTTTGCCCTATACTGTTTCTTTTTACAAGAAAAAACTAAGCCTTTTCCATATTCCTGTACTATTTACAGTAAACTTTGAAGTAGAGAGGTCCTACTAAATCTTTGCCATGTCAGTAATTTCTAAATGAACTCCAAAGAGGCAAAAATTTTTATACCTGAAATTCCCATGTATTTCTGGTACAATTGAACTGAAATAACTTAATAACTTACATGATAGCATCGATGTCACAAGCTTCATTGGCCAGCTGCTGTGTGAAGCCCACAATAAATTTGGGATGAAGAACATGTTCTGTATATCGGAGACAGCAGTCAAAGTTACTTGCTGCTAAAAGAGAAATAAACAGTATTGAGTGCGCTTAAATGCACTTATCTTACAATTAGTATTATGGAACTGTCTGAAGTTGTGTAAAGTCTAGTGGCTCTGATTTATATGGTAAATAAACTATTTAGTGGAAGAGTTTCATGTCGTTGAAACCTATATGGAGTTTTTGAGATTCAACTTAACATAGCTCCCAGTTCTCTTAAAAAATAGTGTCTGTACTAGAAAGTTTTGGTTCAATAATACGGTTTGGAGACACATAACTTTGCATAAGTGGAGTACACAAATTGACAATGTGTCATTTCAGTTCACTACAATCACTCCAGAATCTTCCCACAAGCATCATCACTTGAAGAAATCCCTATAGATAAATTTCCAAATTCAGAAAATGAATACATTGGCAGATTTTAATCTATTATCTAGGCACTGAGTATTAGTAAGTGGGGTTACAAAAGAAAATTGACTTTTAGGTTCAACATGTGCATTTTCAGGAATGCACCTGTTGCTAAAAGTGATGTACAGTAATAAAGCAATTCCTGGCCACTCCCCTGAGTTAAATTCCAACCTATCATAAGGTAAGAGATAAATGTTATTTCATAGTTGACAAACAATGTCTCCAAGGCCTTGTGGGTATGATGAAGCCAGGTACCATAACCTGCCACTAAAGGATGAATTTTAAGCTTTGCTAAACCTGTTTAGTTGATAGGTGAGAAAGTCCAAAAAGTGGAATTGTTTTCTACATTTCAGAGGGACCCATTTACTGGTAATGTTACACAATTTATAGCACTCCCAGAAACAGCACTTTTTCTTTGTCCTGAAGTTCAGGGGTCTCTAAGAGCCTGCCACTCCCAAACTGTGCAGGGACTGATAGCAGAGAGGAAAGCCACACTGGCAGCTGTAGCCCTTCCTTCCACCACTCACCTATGACATAACAATTCCCATTACTTCTCCTTGCAGACTTTCCACAAGGATTCCATCCCTCAGAACCCCAGATGAGCCCATGGCTTAGAGGAAAATGAAAACAGTGCTTCCTCCCGCGCTAGCAGAAAGAGAGGCACTTACCCTCTGACTCGCTGCAGAGGTGGAGGAGCAGTGCTGACATCAAAGCCGCCAGCAGCAAACTCTTGCTTCTGCACATCATTTTCAGCTCAAGGAATAGATATGCTCAGTCTTGCATACCCAGTGCCTTGGGAGTGCTGTTATGCTCTGATAGCAGCCTAGATGGCCTTATTTATACCAAATATTGGGAATGTACACAGAAGGCGTGTTCTCACATGGGGTTTTCCCCACTGATCGACCTGCCCCATCATGTCGTCACAAAGAAAACCCACAGGGAAAACTTCCTGCCTTTCCCTAACGTTGGGAAGGTGTGAAGTTCAGGGTGGAAGGTTTGTAGGGGGTTGAGAAGAGGAGAATCTTGCTAAATCGTTTGGATTTGCAAAAAGGAAAAGCAGGTCAGCCTATGGCCAAGAAAAGGCTTCAGTTCAGTTTTAACTTAATCTCTCTTGCCTCTGAAAATAGAGGATTAACAGTGATACAAAGGTCAGCCCCACACAGGAACATTCCAGCACTCCTATTGTTATACCCTGTTTGCCTTGCAGAGCCAGACAGAGAAGGGGAGGTATGATAAAGAGGGATGCCAGGCATACTCAGGTATGCATTTACAAGTGCATGATTGATGCTCAGAGGTCACAAAGAAGAGCCCGAATTTCTAGAGTAGCATTCAGAGCAGGTAATATAACAACGCTGTAGTAGTGTTTCCAATTATGGTGAAAATATCAGCCTTTAAGTGAGACTCAAGTCTCAGTGTCATCTTGATTTGTCAACTCTTCTAAAAATCTTATATATTTAAACGCCTGTAATCAATATTGTAGCCCAGAAAATAATCCCCACCTGCCTTTAATTTTTCATGGTGATGTATTTGCATAACTCAATACAGAACCTCAGAAGAGTTGAAGGAAAAAAAACTACCAGCAAAGGTTAGTCAGCAAAATAAATGTCAAATAATAGTGATAATGATAATAATGTAATATGAATCCCTAACTTAAGGAGGTATAATAAGAACTATCCCCTAGACACAAGTAGGGTGAAAGTAAAAGTATCAAAAAGGAGATGACATGAAATAGTAAACAAAAGAGAACTGGAACTTCCATGTTTATATCAGACAAAATATATTTTAAAACAAAACAAAAAAAAAGTTATCAGAGATAGAGACTTTCATAATGACAAAGTATCGATCTACCAGGAAAATATAGTCCAAGTCCCAAAAAATTTAAAATAACAGGAATCATATAAAGTATGTTCTTAAACTACAGTGGAATTAAATCAGAAATCAGCAACAGAAGGAAATTTGAGAAATTCACAGATATGTGGAAATTAAATAACACATTTCTAAATAACCAACATGCGAAAGAAGAGATCACTAGGAAAAGTAGAAAATATTTTGAGATAAATGAAAACAAGGCAGAATATCCCAAAACTTTCGCTGGGATATAGCAAAAGCACTGCTCAGAGGGAAACATATAGCTGTAAACAACTACATTAAAAAATAAGAAAGATCTCAGATCAATAACCTAACCTTCTGCTTTAAAGAAACTAGAGAACATAGAGTAAGCTAAACCCAAAGCATGTAGAAGAAAGGAAATTGTAAAGATGAGAGCAGGGGTCAATGAAATAGATAATAGCAAAACAATAGAGGAAATCGATCCAACCAGAAGTTAGTTCTTTAAAAGATCAACAAAATTAACAAGCTTTCATTAGACTAACCAAGAAAAAAAGCCAACCCCCCGCCCAAAAAAAGGAAGATAAGTTGCTAAATTCAGAAATGAAAGAGGATATCACTACTGAGCATAAAGAAATAATAAGGATTATAAGGAAATGCTATGAACAGCTGTATGTCAATAAGTTACATAATCTAGATGAGAGTCAAACTAGGGCTGCTGGTTCAATTGGTTAGGGCATGGTGCTGATAATACCAAAGTCCAAGTTTCAATCCTCGCTCCCGACAGCTTCCAGAAAAAAAAAGAAAGACGAATTATTGAAACTGACTCAAGAAGATTAAAACTTTGAATAGGTCTATGACAAGTAAAGATATCAAATTGATAAGTAAAAATTTTTTCCACAAAGAAAATCTCAGCACCAGCTTGCTTCACTGGTAAATAGTACCAAACATTCAAAGAAGAATTAATACCAATCCCTCACAAGGTTTTCCAAAAAACAGAAGAGAAGAGGACACTTTCCAACTCATTCTATGAGGACAGTATTATATTGATACCAAAATAAGATAAAAGCATCATAAGAAAAGAAAACTACAGACCAATATCCCTTATGAATACAGATATAAAAATTCTTAACAAAATGCTAGCAAGCTGCATCCAACAGCATATAAAAATGGTTATACACGACAACCAAGTGCGATTGATTCCAGGAAATGCAATGCTACATATTAATAGAATAAAAAATGAAAACCATATGAAAAACATTGGACAAAATCCAACACCTTCCCATGATAAAAACACTCAGTAAACTAGGAATAGTAGTGAATTCCTAAACCTGATAAAGGTCATCTATGAAAACCTCACAGATAATTTCACATTTAATGTTGAAAAAGTTAATGTTTTCCCCCTGAGATCAAGAACTAGACGAGACGTCCACTCTCACCACTTCTATTTAACATTGTACTGAAGGTTCTAGCAAAAGCAATTTCTCAAGAAACATGGGAGGAAAAGGGCATCCAGATTGGAAAGGAAGTTATAGTATGTCCTAATTTGTAAATGACTATCTCCTACATAGAAAATCCTAATCTACAGATGACATAATCTCCTATATAAAAAATCTTAATTTGTAGATGGCATAATCTCCTATATAGAAAATCCTAATAAATCCACTAAAAAACCATTAGAACTAATAAGCAAGTTTAGCAAGATTCCAGATTCATAGACAAAAGCAACTGTACTTCTAAACACTATCAATGAACACCCTGAAAATAAAATTAATAAAACAATTAATTTTATAATGGCATCAAAAATAAAACATCTAGGGCCGGCCCAGTGGTGCACTGCTACAGTGCACCGCTTGGGAGCGCGGCGGCGCTCCCGCCGAGGGTTTGGATCCCACGTACAGACCGGCCGCTCACTGGCTGAGTGAGGTGTGGGCGCAACACCGAGGGTTGCGATCCCGTTGCTGGTCCCGGTCCAGTATGGGCGCGACACTGAGGGTTGCGATCCGTTGCCAGTCACGAAAAAAGACAAAAAGGAAAAATAAATAAATAAATAAAAAATAAAACATCTAGGTACAAATTTAACAAAAGAAGTAAAAATGTAACTGAAAACTACAAAACGTTGTAAAAAAAATTTTAAAAGACCTAAATAAATGGAAACATATCCCATGTTAATGGACTAGAAGACTTAATATTGTTAAGATGGCAATATTCTCCAAATTGATCTACAATTTCAATTAAATTCCCAGCTGGCTTCTATGTAGAGATAGAGAAGTCAATACTCAAATTCATATGGAATTGCAAGGGACCCCGAATAGCCAAAACAATCTTGAAAAGACAGAATAAAGTTGGAGAAGGGCTGGCTGCTCAGTTCACTTGGTTAGATCATGGTGTTGATAACACCAAGGTCAAGGGTTCTGATTGCAGTACTGGCCAGCCACCAAAAATAAAATAAAATTGGAGAACTCACACTTCCTAATTACAAAATTTACTACAAAACTACACTAATCAAGACATGTGGTACTGGTACAAGTGTAAATATATAGATCAATGGTGTAGAGTCAGAAAATAAACCCCGATGTCTACGGTCAACTGATTTTTTATTAGAGTGACAAGACCATTCAATGGTGGGAAAATTGTCTTTTCAACAAATGGTGCCGAAACTACCAAATATTCACATGCAAAAGAACAAAGTTAGACTCTTAGATCACAACGTACAAAAAAAATTAATTCAAAATGGACCATAGATCTAAATATAAGAGTTAAAACTATAAAACTCTTAGACAAAAATGTAGGAGTCAATCTTTATGACCTTAGAGTTGGGCAATAATTTTTCAGACGCAGCAACAAAATAAAAAATAAACTGGACTATATCAAAAACTTTGTGCTTCAAAGGATATTATAAACAACATGAAAAAGAAACCTACAGAATGGAAAGAAATGTTTATAGATCATGTATCTGATAAGTAAGTTTTACTTGTATCCAGAATATATAAAGAACTCTTACGACTCGATAATAAGATAAACGAACCAATTAAAAAATAGACAAAATAACTGAATAGACATTTTTCCAAAGAAGATATAGATTAAACAAGCACATGAAAAGATGTTCAATGCTATTAGTCATTAGGGAAATGTAAATCAAAAACCCATGGCATACCACTTCACTCCCACTGGGATGGCTGTAATCAAAAAAGCAAATAATTGGTGCTGGCAATGATGTAGACAAATTGGAATCCTCATACATTGTTGATAGAAGTGAAAAATGGCACAGTCATTTTGGAAAACAGCTGAACAGTTCCTCAAATTGTTAATCATAGAGTTACCATATGACCCAGCAATTCTACTCCTGAGTATACACGCAAGATAAATGAAAATATACGTCCACACAAAAACATGTACACAAATATTTATAGCAGCATTATTCATAATAGCCAAAAAGCAGAAACAACCCAAATGTCATCAACTGATGAACTGATAAATAAAATGTGGCAAATTTGTATAATGGAATAATACAATACTATATTATGTGCAATAATATAGCTTGTATAATGGAATAATATAATATTATATTGTATGGAATAATATAACTTGCATAATGGGATAATATTTTATTCAGCAGTAAAATTAATGAAGTACTGATAGAAACTACAAAGTGGATGAACCTTGAAAACACTATGGTAAATGAAAAAAGCCAAGCACAAAAAGCCACATGTTGTGTGACATGTTCAAAACTGGCAAATCTATAGAGACAAGTAGAATAGTGACTGTCGAGGGCTGGGCTGCAGCACGGGGGGGGGGGGGGGGGGAAAGGGGGGGGGGGGGGGGGCCGGCC